AAGCACTTCGACAATACGACGAACCAAAGGCGATATTACTACATCTCGCTCTGTCACGAGCTCCGGTATTGGAGCTCGAAGATGACTTCTGGACGAAGCAGAGTGCCCGAGTGGCAGGCACTCTGTCAAAGATGGAACCAGTTTGTTGCGAACTTCAACAGTGGTCCGGCAGCTTATCGCGAGCGGATTGCTTCCGCTCGTGAGCGTTTCATAAAGTTCTCCAAGACTTCCGTCGTCCAGCGCGTTCACGAAGGTTCCGTGAACGCAAATATTCCTTGTGCAGTGCCGGAGGGCGTTCATTGCCCGCACTGCCACGTTGGTGCTCCCCGCATCAGCGAAAGAGACCTCACCGTGTACACGACTAACCGTGTACCTGCAAACGTTAAGGAGCTACGTGCTCAGCTTGCTTACACGCATCAGCATCCTAGTGTTGTGACTGAGCACAACACTCCGCGAAACACTCGTGGTGGGCTTCGTACGCCATCACCATTTCCGGAACGTCCGTCATCAGGACGTTTCGGGGAAACCACGTATCTCGAAGGAGACCCGATTGTCTCCAACGAATACGAAAACGAACCGGACCTCGGCTCGTCTTCGGACTGGTAGGGTCAACAATTCGATCCACCTCGCGGTGGATCGTACCGCGGACAGAGTTATGATTCTGTCGGCGGTGCTGGACGCTCATCATATGGCTTTATGCGCCCAACGTAGAACGTTGGGTGGAGTCTCATGTCGGATGGAAGTTCCAACGGGTATGCGCTGCCGTGACGTTCTGTCACCGGGAACGGTCCAATGAAGCGCGGAGCAAGCTTGCTTGCTCCGAAGCCAGAATCTGCATGAGTAGGTAAGTTTTGTGTAGATAACAAAACCAATGAACCAATTTTGAATTCATTTGTATTACCCCTGCCAACATTATCTGCGTTCAGCTTCTTCCGCAGAAGCTGCAATTGCATCTTGTACAAAGCGAACGACTGCTTGTCGTTTGTGGACAAAGTTCATTGCTTGAGAGCTGAACCCCGGGTCCAGCTCGTTGGTCTTGTGCCCTGCACAGACTCGCCACTTGTAGTCGCATCAGTCTCTGACTGTGCGTGGCTCTTTAGGATGTCAGTGCCCAGCACAGACACTTCGGGTGTGTTCGCTTCAGGCCCAACCTGTGCGTGAGTCTTCTCGGTGTATGTGCCCCGCACAGACACATTGTTCTTGGTCGCATCAGGTGTCGCCTGCTCGTGGTTCATCACAGTGTCAGTGCCCGGCACTGACACGTCGCCCTGTCGTGTGCGGGCTCTCGCTCTCGCACGTGTCATCGCAACTGATAGGTCCGTATCAGCTGTCTTCTGCGGTTGTTCGGACGCAACCGTAGATCCTCCCCCACTTAAGGAGGAAGCCACCGCCCCGAGTGTGCTCGGAAGGCGTGGATGCCGCATGGCGTTCACGTAGAACGGTGTATGCCCGGTCGAGGCATGCACCGCGTTGTTGATGGCAAACTCGGCCATCGGCAAGTAGTCGCTTCAGTTGTGGAGCGACTGGGCGTAGCTTTTCAGCAAGCCCACGAGCACGCGGTTAATGTGCTCGGTTTGCCCGTCCGTCTGCGGATGATCCGCAGTCGACATAGAGAACCGTGTCCCAAGAAGTGTGAACACTTCTTATCAGAAACACGCCGTGAAGCGCGGATCGCGGTCCGACACAAAGTCGTTGGGCATGCAATGGTGTTTGAACACCATGTCAACGAACAGACGTGTCGTCTGTATGGAGGTCACCTCCGCTGCGACAGCAGCGAGATGCACCATCTTGCTGAAGCGGTCCACAAAGACCACAATACCAGTCTTCCGCCTGGAATCGCGCGGAAGACCAAACACGAAGTCCATCGAAACGGACTCCCAACACTCCGACGGAGTCGGTAATGGTTGCAGCGGAGCCTGCGAATGAGGCGCAGGCTTCACACGCTGGCAAACATCGCA